TGTGGTACACGTTACCATTGTTTGTTGATGCTGTGGTACACGTTACCATTGTTTGTTGATGATGTGGTACACGTTACCATTGTTTGTTGAAGCTGTGGTACACGTTACCATTGTTTGTTGATGATGTGGTACACGTTACCATTGTTTGTTGAAGTTGTGGTACACGTTACCATTGTTTGTTGATGCTGTGGTACACGTTACCATTGTTTGTTTCTGTTGTTGTATATTTTGTCTTTGTCCGTTACTTCAGTTTGCAAATATGTTTCTATTTTACGTCCTATGTTAAGCTGGAAAAAAACCAGGTTATGAAATTATCAAATTGAATATAAACCACACATAACGTCAAGTGGCACAAGTCGAAATAGTCGTTTTCGTAGAAACGGGTCAAACATGCTCAGCATATTCAAATTGATTATTTACAAACATATGTAAACATTGTGTAGGTATAGGTTACTAACTGTTTTGTTACAGACCCCGGGTTATGTAGTGACACTAACCTCTGTAAGAGTTCCAGTGTCTGCATCAAAACGGACAACCCCGATATCGTTCGCTGCAAGTGCCCAGCTAACAAATTTAACACACCGAAAGACGGCAGCAGGGAGTGTCCAGGTAAGTCTTTCGAGTCATCAGCTTGAGAAATAAGGCAACATCCTAAACCATAATATGAAATTATGATATACTGGTATATGCAAAATATGTCAACCTTACAACATGATTCCAACCTTTCTGTAGAAGGGTCATCCGAGTACCAGACTATACCCCGATATCGCACGTTCATGGCGTAGTGATGCGCAGAGTATTTTCGGCTTCGGTATGCCCTAAAGTACCCGCATTAACAGAGGGAAAAAATGATCTGATTTAATAATACTGAATATACAGACGTAATTGATGACCTGATGTCACCGCAGTGCAGACACGAGTAATAGTCTACTGTATGTAAATGCAGTGGATTGTGGAACTTCTACCCTCAGCTGTAGAATTCAGGTCATATCCGAGGCTTTGCCGAGACTGAGACAACATTCTACACCCGATGGTAGCATATCTCCCACCCCAACACCCATCTACTTAATTAATGATTCTTTTTGCTCTTCCTTCTACTCAGGAATCAGGTAAATATTGATGATGACATGAAGAATACTACAATAAATACAGTAGATTAATTGGTTACATACAATAGCATACAGGTTAGCTAGAAACAAATGTTGAAGGATAAAACTTTCTCACAGTTTGTTTGTTTAATGATTGCTCAATTCAGTGAGGCGATACCACATGGTATTGTGTTTTGGTGGTAGATATGTTTCCGCTGACCAAATTGTCAATTTACTAACATCACGTATCACACTGACATAACGTCACGTTTCAGAACGTCAGCCTGTATGATTCTGAACATTTTTCATCTAAAAGTTTGTTTTTTATCCCCCCTAAGAAGGATTTAGAAAAATAAGTAGCTCCCGAAATTGGGGTTACCGGATGCACCAATGGGGGTTATTAGAATCTTAAATAACGATAAGAGGGTGGAAGATAACATATTGATTATCATTTTTTTTTTAATTATTCCTTTTTTCTCTTACGCTGTTGAACCTATCGTATATATAATGCAATGCTGACGTTCCAGGCTTAATACGTTATTGATGTGTAATTAATGCATTGTTGGTGTTATGTCATTGTATTGTTGACGTGATATCAAACAATTATTTTGACATGACTCGTGATTTCCCTCGCCTCAACCCTAATATGAAACAAGGATATCTTACGCCAGTAAAAGTGGGGATCTACCTGTCTGGGGTAAGCGAAGACGTTATTCCACATGTCATGGAACTTGTGTATGTTTACACAGAGGTTGGAGAAAATATAATCTGCAATTTCTTCAATAGTTCGAAAACGAAGCGGATTACTGAAGATAGTCATAATAAAGTATACACACCATGACATAGGATACATCAGGTAGTCACAGTTCATGGGCGACATAGAGAATGACGGAATTAATAACTTTAGATGGGGAACCAGGCAAGACAGTCTGGGCGACTATCCACAATGGATGACCGGAGAAAACTACATGAGATCCGGTAGATAAATGTAGAATAACCTGATGTTTTTCATGAAACGGTCCATTTTAATTCGCACATGAGGTTATCCGTACCGAGGTTTAGTGAAGTGAGACCTATGGAAGACATAATTCTGAAGCAACCATTCTGAGTCGAATCCACTTAAGGTGTATGTAGAATTAAAATCCCGTGTGCTAGGTTACATACAATACCGTTGTACATTGAATTATATATGTATCCATACCCTTACAATTTTCGTTATTACAATCCGAGGAAAGAATTCAATTGTGCTGGAGATCAAACCCAGTTCTTCGTTAACCGACAATACACCAAGCGAACTGTTACTCGTGTATTACAGCTATTTCATCATAACAGTCCAAAATGTTTGACTGTGCTATGGCGACTAAAACCGTTTTCAATATAAAATACTTACACATGTAATGTACAATTGAACATTATTATTCTACAGTTTTAAATAATATGAATAGTATTGCTTTAAAATCTTGCTATTCCTGATCTACTTCATTTTTTAATTATAGAGCCAACAAAATATCTACTGGTTAGTGACGTAGACGGCATAAAAATGACGTCATTTGACGATGTGCTGAAGAATGTCTACACAATAGTGCCTAATGAAGATGAGTGCAATCACTACCATGGTTTGGCTACAGATGGACGACGGATATTCTTCGCTGGTTACGACGGGTAAGGATATCGCCATAGAGATCTCGTAACAAAACGAAAGAGATTTAGCAAACATTGCGTATAATGTTGAAACACTTGGCACTGATTACTTGAAAACTTTAGCTCGAAAACCTGAGAAATATGACTTGGATTGCTCAATTATTGAAATATAGCTATTCTTAACGTGGTATATGTTATACAGTAATACAGTGTGAATGGTTGATATAAAATCCTTTCCCGAATCCAAAACTTGGCCAATCTGTAAAACTTTATTCATGCACTTGGACTTTGGTCCGAACTAGCGATTCTCGGTATACCAATGTAGCGATTATGGGTATACCAAGCTAGCAATTCTGGGTATACGAAGCTAGCAATTCTGGCAATAGGACGCTAGCAATTCTGGTTATACCAAACTAGCAATTCTGAGTATACCAAGCTAGCGAGTCTGGGTATACCAAACTAGCAATTCTGGGTTTACCAAGCTTACAATTCTGGGTTTACCAAGCTAGCGATTCTGGGTATACCAAGCTAGCAATTCTGGGTATACCAAGCTAGCAATTCACGGGTTACCAAGCTAGCAATTCTGGGTATACGAAGTAAGCAATTCTGGTAATACGAAGCCAGCAAGTCTGGTTATACCAAGCTAGCAATTCTGGGTATACCAACCTAGCGAGTCTGGGTATACCAAACTAGCAATTCTGGGTTTACCAAGCTTACAATTCTGGGTTTACCAAGCTAGCGATTCTGGGTATACCAAGCTAGCAATTCTGGGTATACCAAGCTAGCAATTAACAGGTTACCAAGCTAGCAATTCACGGGTTACCAAGCTAGCGATTCTGGGTATACCAAGCTAGCGATTCTGGTAATACACAGGTAGCAATTCCGGGTATACCAAACTAGCGATTCTGGCGATTCTGGGTTTACCAAGCTAGCAATTCTTGTTATACCAATCTATCAATTATGGGTACACCAAGCTAGCGATTCTGGGTATACCAAGCTAGCGACTCTGGGTAACCAATCTAGCGATTATGGTAATGCGAAGCTAACAATTCTGGGTATATACCAAACTAGAGATTCTGGGTTTACCAAGCTAGCGATTGTTGGTATACTAAGCTGGCAATTCTGGGTTTACCAAGTTAGCGATTCTGGGCACACCAAGCTAGCAATTCTTGGTATACCAAGCTAGCGATCTATTCTGGGGATACAAAACTAGCTATTCTTGGTTTACCAAGCCAGTGATACTGGGTTTACCAAGCTAGCGATTTTTGGTTTACCAATCTAGCTATTTTGGGTTTACCAAGCAAGCGATTCTATGGATACCAATTAATCGATTCTGGCAATACGAAGCTAGCGTTTTTGGATATACCAAGCTAGCGATTGTTGGTATACTAAGCTAGCAATTCTGGGTTTACCAAGCTTGCGATTGTTGGTATACTAAGGTAGCAATTCTGGGTTTACCAAGCTAGCGATTGTTGGTATACTAAGCTAGCAATTCTGGTTTACCAAGCTAGCGATTGTGGTATACTAAGCTAGCAATTCTGGGTTTACCAAGTTAGCGATTGTTGGTATACTAAGCTAGCAATTCTGGGTTTACCAAGCTAGCAAATCTGGGTTTACCATTTACGATTATACCCGATGTAATAGTACCCTTTACGTTAAAGCTAATACTGTAAACGACGCTGCTTTCTTTTCAGAAAAATCCTTTATACGGCTTCTTTAAAGGGTGAGGATGCTGCAGTGTTGATGGTGCTTAGGAACATGACGGTGTTAAACCTGGCCTATCACGACAACACCCTCTACTGGACAGGTCACTACGACTGTTACATGTACAACGGGTCGTTAGGAGGCACTCTTCAGTGCGATAACTTTGAGGGGAAACTTGGCGGTGTATTCAGCCTCGATGTCACTCCCGGCTCATCTACAGAACGGCAGGTCAACACTTTAGTTGCAGATATTGATGACCCACAAGGTGTACTCGCCGACTCCAGGTAACAACTTACTAATGTTATAAAATTTAAGTACGTAGTATTCTAAATATAAAGCAATTGTGATATTGGTTATTGCCGAAAATGGAACTTTTTTCGCCCTGACGAGTGCTGGGCCAAATTTGTCTATGTATACGGTACTTTATGTATTACAATATACAACAAATACACTAAAAATGGATGAATTTAAATTCAATGCTTCTTTCTCCACATCATTGTCCGTATTTTAAATAACACTTTATTAGTGAATATCCTGTTAAATTTTACACTTTGCTATATAAGCATGTATGTACATTGTATATTACACTGTCATAGTGCTTTAACCCTCAGTCAGTAATACTTGTGTAACATAATACTGCTTTAACCCTCAGTTAGTATTACTTGTGTAACATAATACTGCTTTAACCCTCAGTTCGTATTACTTGTGTAACATAATACTGCTTTAACCCTCAGTCAGTAATACTAGTGTAACATAATACTGCTTTAACCCTCAGTCAGTAATACTTGTGTAACATAATACTGCTTTAACCCTCAGTCAGTAATACTTGTGTAACATAATACTGCTTTAACCCTCAGTTAGTAATACTAGTTTAACATAATACTACTTTAACCCTCAGTCAGTAATACTTGTGTAACATAATACTGCTTTAACCCTCAGTCAGTAATACTAGTGTAACATAATACTGCTTTAACCCTAGGAGAGTAATACTACTGTAACATAATACTGCTTTAACCCTCGGGTAGTAATACTTGTGTAACATAATACTGCTTTAACCCTCAGTCAGTAATACTAGTGTAACATGCTACTGCTTTAACCCTCAGTTAGTAATACTACTGTAACATAATACTGCTTTAACCCTCAGTTAGTAATACTAGTTTAACATAATACTGCTTTAACCCTCAGTCAGTAATACTAGTGTAACATAATACTGCTTTAACCCTCAGTTAGTACTACTAGTTTAACATAATACTACTTTAACCCTCAGTCAGTAATACTTGTGTAACATAATACTGATTTAACCCTCAGTTAGTAATACTACTGTAACATAATAGTGCTTTAACCCTCGGGTAGTATTACTTGTGTAACATAATACTGCTTTAACCCTCAGTTAGTAATACTACTGTAACATAATACTGCTTTAACCCTCGGGTAGTATTACTTGTGTAACATAATACTGCTTTAACCCTCAGTTAGTAATACTTGTTTAACATAATACTGCTTTAACCCTCAGTTAGTAATACTTGTGTAATATAATACTGCTTTAACCCTCAGTTAGTAATACTACTGTAACATAATAGTGCTTTAACCCTCGGGTAGTATTACTTGTGTAACATAATACTGCTTTATCCCTCAGTTAGTAATACTAGTTTAACATAATACTGCTTTAACCCTCGGGTAGTATTACTTGTGTAACATAATACTGATTTAACCCTCAGTTAGTAATACTACTGTAACATAATAGTGCTTTAACCCTCGGGTAGTATTACTTGTGTAACATAATACTACTTTAACCCTCAGTCAGTAGTACTTGTGTAACATAATACTGCTTTAACCCTCGGGTAGTATTACTTGTGTAACATAATACTGCTTTATCCCTCAGTTAGTAATACTATTTTAACATAATACTGCTTTAACCCTCGGGTAGTAATACTTGTGTAACACAATACTGCTTTACCCTCAGTCAGTAATACTAGTGTAACATAATACTGCTTTAACCTCAGTTAGTAATACTTGTGTAACATAATACTGCTTTAACCCTCGGGTAGTAATACTTGTGTAACACAATACTGCTTTACCCTCAGTCAGGAATACTAGTGTAACATAATACTGCTTTTACCTCAGTTAGTAATACTTGTGTAACATAATACTGCTTTAACCTCAGTTAGTAATACTAGTGTAACATAATACTGCTTTAACCCTCGGGTAGTAATACTTGTGTAACATAATACTGCTTTAACCCTCGGGTAGTAATACTTTTGAAACATATAAATATTCATTATCTGCCTCCAGTTTATAAATTTAACTTCAAATGCCACCTATCTGTGATTGCTTATGTGCTGTTTTGCTTTGTACCTTTATTGTTTTACAAGCTAAATGCCCTGTGATATGTGCTTGCTATTTCTTAACTATCTTTGCAATTACCTGCATGTTGTTTATCCGTGTTATTTCTTATTTGTATCCAAAGTTTGTCGCAAGAATAGCACTAAAGTACCAATGTTTATTGATTTAAGTGTGACGTTAAATAAAAATCCTTGTATCTTGTATCTTGGATCATCTTGTAGCTTCGTGTATTGGTCCGACCAATCAGTTGTAAAACGTCTGAGCCTCCGCGATACATCACCAGCTGCTGCCATTTTCTCGCGAACACCCAATGTTTTCGCACTTCAACAAAATAAACAACAGACTCACCTGTTTCTAGGTGGGCCGGACATTACGTTGACACTGTTCGCCTCTGAAAGTAAGTGCAAATGTAAAGTCGTTATTTACGTAGTAATTAGTGATACATAATGTAAATACCCCACTAAAGGTCACGTGTTCTGAATCCTGATTTGTCGAAATATATGTCAGCTGAAAAACACATTTTTATAAAGAAAACTACATATTTTGTGTTTGGGAATTTTCACTTGATGTTCTTACTTTTTCATTCGGCTATTAGATTTAAAAAAATGTATATTAGTATTAAAGTTTGAATTACAGATTAAGAAGAATAAACCATATTATTCCAATCCTATTCTATATTTTTGTTTGTGTACGCAAAATCCCGTAATTGAGGCATAGATAACTTATAAGGGGCTTGTCGATTTTCATAATACAGAAAAATTAAAGGAAATGTCGACCTATGTCCAAATATGAACGATGTGTTTTAGAGCCGTAAACGTTTCGAATCAAATTTACCTATCATAGATATGTTTGTGGTGTTGCAGATAATCACTCTGAGGTAGTATACTCAGGCTTGTCCGACGTCCGTGGCCTATCAGTACAAGGCTCATTGGTGTTCGCTTCAGACTGGAGCAACAGAACTGTCATACAATATGACTTACGCACACATCAGACAAGGGTGGTCGCCCATACCCTAGGTCGCCCTGGCCAAATCGTAGCGTTTGGACTGGATACGAGTATTACAGGTAACTTCCTTAAATACGTAATTTTCAATGCAGACATTGAGATGTACTGAAGGACATATATAAACCAAAAACCAGCAATGGAATACCTAACCGTCAACAAAACCATAATTTGAGCTAAAAATCGATTAAACTAGGGCAAAATATGAGCAAATGATGCACTTAAAAACTAAAACAATAGTCCAGTTGGCAAAAACAGTAGATCGTACATCAGCATGTCAAGTTAACTACCTTGATAAAGCATCTATATCTACATGTACTTTGTGAGCCATCATGAGTACTTTGTACCAGTCTAAATGTAGGATGTCATAAATGTCGTTGTTCACGTTTAAGCCTCCATGTCTGCTCAGTAATTTTTCAAACCTACCTTTTAGGCTTTCATGTCTATATTTTAAGTGTCCTCAGCCACACCTTAACTGCACAGTCTACCATTAAAGTGTGTATTATCTGTCATGTAAATATCCTTGTCTACCATGTAAATGTCCTTGTCTACCATGTAAATATCCATGTCTACCATGTAAATGTCCATGTCTACCATGTAAATATCCTTGTCTACCATGTAAATGTCCTTGTCTACCATGTAAATATCCTTGTCTACCATGTAAATATCCATGTCTACCATGTAAATATCCTTGTCTACCATGTAAATATCCTTGTCTACCATGTAAATGTCCATGTCTATGAAACACGTTGAAAATGGAAGTGTCCATATCTACCTTGTAAGTATCAACGTTAACCGTGTAATTGTCCATAACTACCTTGTAAGAATCAACGTTAACCGTTTAATTGTCCATATCTACCTGGTAAGTATCAACGTTAACCGTGTAATTGTCCATATCTACCTTGTAATTGTCCATATCTACATTGTTAGTGTCCATGTCTACCTTGTAAATGTAAATATATTCATTGTAATTGTCCATATCTACCTTGTAATTGTCCATATCTACCTTCTAAGTGTCCATATCTACCTCGTAGTTGTCCATATCTACCTTCTACCTCGTTATTGTCCATATCTACCTCGTAATTGCCCATATCTACCTTGTAAATGGCCATATCTACCTTGTAATTGTCCATATCTACCTTGCAAGTGTCCATATCTACCTTTCAAGTTTCCATATCTACATTGTAAGTGTCCACTTCTACCTTGTAAGTGACGATATCTACCTTGTAAGTGTCTATATCTACCTCGTAATTGTCCATATATACCTTGTAGGTGTCCATACCTACCTTGTAAGTGTCCATTTCTACCTTGTAAGTGTATATACTTACCTTGTAAGTGTTTATATCTACCTTGTAAGTGTCCATATCTACCTTGTGTTTATATCTACCTTTTAAGTGTCTATATATACCTCGTAATTGTCCATATCTACACCATTTCTACCTTGCAAGTGTCCATATCTACTTTGTAAGTGTCCATTCTTATCGTGTTTTGTCTTTATCACATTTTAATATTGACCAACTTTGAGTCAAAACAGAATTCAGTTTTTGAAAGTACACATTAAAGATTACGATGTAGATTAAGAAAGTTAGAAAAATATACTCTTTGTAAGTAGTTAGTAAATAGACACATGAGGTAGATATTGTAAATGTACAGTATCTATACTTTTACATATTATACAGACAAGCCTGGCAAATGTCCCAAAGAGACTTGGTGTAGCAGTGTGTCCAGTGTACAGTGTCAGCACGATGTGGACTGCGTCGATGGCTTTAGGAGTAAATGCTGTCTGACATACGTTAACAACGTGTGTAGGAGAGAATGCATCCCCCCTGTGGCTGAATCTGCCTGTAACATCACCTTTGACGGTCAGCCGTCCTTCACGTGGGGATACGAAACGGTCACTAACGACAAATGTACCGCTTGTGAGTGTACAATGGACGGACGATCCCAGTGTTCCCCTGTTCAGTGTCCTTCCCTAGTCGGATGTGGCTTCATCATCAAGGAACCAGGAACGTGTTGCTCTGTTTGCCGTGGTGAGTTGTACGCATTTTCTTTTTCTTTACTACATCAGCAATCTTTATATTCCTATGATGTTTCAGGTCACAACAGTCATCGATAAGCATATGTAAGCTTTGCATTGTAAGATTAAATGTATTCAGCTTGGAATTCCTTAGGTATTTGTGCATGCTCATTTACATTACATTTTCACATGTCCATAGCGTCGTCAATGACCAAAGAGACAACAATAAATGATTATTTACTTAAAGAAAGCATTGGGCTGAACGGCAGCTTGTTAAATTGAGTGCAAAATCACTCAAGCTTTATTGATAACTAGTACAGATAATAAAAAATATATACATGTGGATTTTTTAGTAAATAATATATAAGAATTCAGGCGTTAGTTGTTACTATCCAGTTAAATTTGTAAGTTTTGTAAAAGTTCTTTAAAAAAAAAAAAAGGAGTAAGACGACGCTAATTTAAATATATCTTCAGCAAACGACAGAAAAAATTCGAAGTATTTTATTCGACCATTGATGCTTTAAGTTGGCCGCTGCGTCGTTACTGGAATATAATTTTATTTATACAGGTATTCCTTACATCGCTAAAATAAAAATTCGTGTCGGTATTATTTTATAAATAATTGCTATTTGATGCTTGATTGTAAATCCTAGCGTTTGAAGCTGCATGCATCTTACCTTTGAAGCCATGTTAAGTATACCTTTAAAGCTTCCCTATACCGTAAACAAACCTGACACAGAAGATATACAAATGTACTGTATCGTTCTTGCCTTATATCTTTTATGAAAAATATGATGGGAATCATATGACACAGTTAACTGTGTCGTAGAACTATAATTTTACATCTCGTGACCGCAGTCCTGATTGACCAGTTACAAAGTTAAATCCAAACGGAACACCGAAGTTTAAGTGGAAACATGATAAGAATGTAAATGGAAAATAAAATAATGTAAAAATGTATTATTATTTTTAACGTCTAAACTTAAATGATCTGATAAGTATGTCATCAAAAGAAAAACGACTGCGTCTTCAGGCTCCTTGAGCTGCCTTTTTCGATTCCGTATCTAAAACCAGGTTGTATTCTTATCAACTGCATTCAGTCTGTAGTGATTCAGTAGGAGTTTGTTCACAAGAGTGGATTTCATACGATTCAGAAGAAATCCAAAAACTATTTTGAAAGGATCTGTTGAAAACCATTGTCTCTTACTGCCGTTGTGCCAGAGTATCACCTGGTATTTAGATGTGACGATACCGACTGTTGTACCGTACACTGTTTCCTTTTTGCAGTTGAATGGATTTTGGGAATTCGTGTTAAGCTTTCCTTACAATCATCTGTGTAAACAGTTATTACTAGAACGTTTACAATGTCATAAAACTCATTTGAAAACTATACCATCGTTTCAGATTGTTCAGATAAACATTCAATGATAGTGATCTGTTTCTCTCTCTAGATATAACAACCTGTGAAGCGAACCGTAAGTATTGCCTAGAACAAAGTTGTACTGTAACGCTAATGACTACAATGTATGATTTCCTCAACATGTGCAGTGTCTCAAAACAGACAAAGTAAAGAGAATCAAAGTAGAAACTGATCAAATAAATAGCGATACAAGATTGATGGTATAAGATATCAATTTAAACAACAACGTGTACTTAAAGTGTAAACATATTATTGTATTATATCATTAACTAACAAATTAAGTCTGAGCATGTAGGCTATCCGTATTATTCATCTATTTATTTATAGCAAACATCGTGGGTTGCCCAGCCAATAGTATTGAAGTGCCTCTATCAACCGCGCTGCCAGACGGCAACCCGGTGGTGCCAGTGAAAGTTTCACTGCAAAATCACAGAGCAGTGAAGAATATAACCGCATTCAGTTGTAACCTGCAGGAAATCACTAATAATAAGAAAACTCTGATGCCGAGCTTTGTTACGTGGCAGAAGGAGGAGCAGAACGTGTCCCTGATAGCAAACGATGACAATGGTATAGCGAGGTGCGACATGATAGTACGGATATTGGGTAGGTTGCTATACTTTACCTTCATACGCAGATAAAACTTATGACTGAATGGATGTTTAAGGGTGAATACGCATAATGTATTAAACATAATATATTTCAGTGATATCTTACGGTGCAGAATTTTTTTTTTTGCTCCATTCCCAAGATAGAATGAATACTACATGAATAGAGGACAGCTAGACTACCTCACAAAACAATGACTGAAATGACTTGTGTACAAATAACATAGAATAGGATCTGATAGAGAACCGGAGTGATTTGCTTCAAAATAGGCATACGTGTATCAACGTGTCCTCGCCTCTGCGTCAAAGTATCAATTACTAGGATCGATAACGAGCATTGAAAACATAATGTGACCATACACAAATAGTTGATCTCATAGAGAGATGTTTTGCTTATTCAGATACCACAAAACCTGTGTTCGTTAGTTCTCCGAACGATACCATAGTGACTGTTTTCGCCGAGGACATACATGGTGCTCCAGCGTTTTGGACGAACCCTGTGGCTTATGACAATTCCGGGTTTCCGCCGACAATAACGACAAATAACCGCACCAACGGGGCGCTGCTTCCACCTGGTTTCCATGAGGTCAGATACAAAGCTTTGGATAGAGCAGCCAATAGTGAGAGCATCAAATTCTACGTCAACGTCTCCTTGATACCAGGTTTGGAGTTTCGTAATTTATATATACAAAGTAACACTTACCCGGTACGTGATTTTGATCTTGTTTCAGTTAAACTGTTTCCGCTTACTTGATGTCATTGTGATAATTTCAGATTAATAACACTTGGCCAAATTTGTTCGCTTATGCCAAGGAAATTAGGCATAACACCTTCATCTTTACATAAAGAGTAGTCTATCAAAGATTAATTTACATTTACTCTTTTTTGTCCAACCCACAAGTTGAAATATCTTAGTCCAATAATATCCCATGCCAAATAAGGTTAAAATCCTTTCACTTGTACTTCTGATGTAGTCTGTTTAAAGATTAATTTCCGACTCAATCCCTCAGCCCCAGGAGCGTCACAACTTCATTTAACAATTTAAAATTCCGTTGACAAAGAATGCTCCATCCGAAATCATTCTCAAACCATTATCTCTTGTTAGATGCCCTATTTTAAGCATTACTGTAAAAGGACAAGGAGGACGATATATCCAATTTCAAAATAGTTTTATAACAATATTTCTTGTTGTTTATTTAGCGTTCCTATATTATACAGGTTACCGTTTCGGTTGGACTTTTAGAGTAAAACGCCCTATCAACAGCTTATGACATTGAAGGACTTGCATTAATGTGTGTAATGTATGCGTGCATGTGTGAATATGTGCTGAGGCAGTGTGTTGGTGTTTTTGCCTTCTTGCGATTGCCCGGATGTGATACCGACTTTATAGTGCTATGGTATGAAAGCGTTGGTGTTCATTTGAACATTGTCTCGTTCTGGGTATGATGACGTTAGCTAGCAGAAGACTGAGATGCACGATACAAATGTTAACTTTGGTGTTTAAACCTAAACAAGTCTGATCAATTGATCACATTTCAACCGAATTTGCCAAATTAGGGAAACCATTCGCAATATTGCTTTCAATGACAACATTTTGTTATGATTTCTTAAATACCAATGGGATCGATAGAGATCACCTCGTTGATGCTTATGAATGAGCTACATACACATACAATATGTAATGTGAAAACGAGATGAGTAAATCTGCCAACGTGTAATTATAACACGAGTGAAAGTATCTGCATGTATAAAGATAAGTGTGAAAAACTACGTGTCGCATTAATATGATTTAAAGCAGGAACGTGCAATTTAAAGATAAATGAGAATAACTACGTGTTATGTAAAGATGAATGAGAATAACTACATACGTGTGTGTAAAGATGAATGAGAATAACTACGTGTTATGTAAAGATGAATGAGAATAACTACGTACGTGTGTGTAAAGATGAATGAGAATAACTACGTGTTATGTAAAGATGAATGAGAATAACTACGTACGTGTGTGTAAAGATGAATGAGAATAACTACGTGTTATGTAAAGATGAATGAGAATAACTACGTACGTGTGTGTAAAGATGAATGAGAATAACTACGTGTTATGTAAAGATGAATGAGAATAACTACGTACGTGTGTGTAAAGATGAATGAGAATAACTACGTGTTATGTAAAGATGAATGAGAATAACTACGTACGTGTGTGTAAAGATGAATGAGAATAACTACGTGTTATGTAAAGATGAATGAGAATAACTACGTACGTGTGTGTAAAGATGAATGAGAATAACTACGTGTTATGTAAAGATGAATGAGAATAACTACGTACGTGTGTGTAAAGATGAATGAGAATAACTACGTGTTATGTAAAGATGAATGAGAATAACTACGTACGTGTGTGTAAAGATGAATGAGAATAACTACATACGTGTGTGTAAAGATGAATGAGAATAACTACGTGTAATATAAAGATGAATGAGAATAACTACGTACGTGTGTGTAAAGATGAATGAGAATAACTACGTGTTATATAACGATGAATGAGAATAACTACGTGTAATATAACGATGAATGAGAATAACTACGTATAATATAAAGATGAATGAGAATACCTACATACGTGTGTGTAAAGATGAATGAGAATAACTACGAACTTGTGTGTAAAGATGAATGACAATAACTACGTGTTATATAACGATTAATGAGAATAACTACGTGTTATCTAAAGATGAATGAGAATAACTATGTACGTGTGTGTAAAGATGACTGAGAATAACTACGTGTTATGTAAAGATGAATGAGAATAGCTACGTGTAATATAAAGATGAATAAGAATACCTACATACGTGTGTGCAAAGATGAATGAGAATAACTTCGTGTTATGTAAAGATGAATGAGAATAACTATGTACGTGTGTGTAAAGATGAATGAAAATAACTACGTGTAATATAAAAATGAATGAGAATAACTACGTACGTGTGTGTAAAGGTGAATGAGAATAACTACGTACGTGTGTGTAAAGATGAATGAGAATAACAACGTGTAATATAAAGATGAATGAGAATAACTACGTACGTGTGTGTAAAGATGAATGAGAATAACTACGTGTTATATAAAGATGAATGAGAATAACTACGTGTAATATAAAGATGAATGAGAATAACTACGTACGTGTGTGTAAAGATGAATGAGAATAACTACGTGTAATATAAAGATGAATGAGAATAACTACGTACGTGTGTGTAAAGATGAATGAGAAGAAATACGTGTAATATAAAGATGAATGAGAAAAACTACGTGTTATATAAAGATGAATGAGAATAACTACGTGTACTATAAAGATGAATGAGATCACCTACATACGTGTGTGTAAAGATGAATGAGAATAACTACGTGAAATATAAAGATGAATGAGAATAACTACGTACGTGTGTGTAAAGATGAATGAGAAGAAATACGTGTAATATAAAGATGAATGAGAAAAACTACGTGTTATATAAAGATGAATGAGAATAACTACGTGTTATATAAAGATGAATGAGCATAACTACGTGTTATATAAAGATGAATGAGAATAACTACGTGTTATATCAAGATGAATGAGAATAACTACGTGTTATATAAAGATGAATGAGAATAGCTACGTGTAATATAAAGATGAATGAGGATAACTACATGTTATATAAAGATGAACGAGAATAGCTACGTGTAATATAAAGATGAATGAGAATAACTACGTGTTATATAAAGATGAATGAGAATAGCCACGTATTATATTAAGATGAATGAGAAAAACTACGTGTTATATAAAGATGAATGAGCATAACTACGTGTAATATAAAGATGAATGAGAATAACTACGTGTTATATAAAAATGAATGAGAATAGCTACGTGTAATATAAAGATGAATGAGGATAACTACATGTTATATAAAGATGAACGAGAATAGCTACGTGTAATATAAAGATGAATGATAATAGCTTCGTGTTATATAAAGATGAATGAGAATCACTACGTGTAATATAAAGATGAATGAGAATAACTACGGGTTATATAACTATGAATGAGAATAACTTGTAAAGATGAATGAGAATAACTACGTGTTATATAAAGATTAATGAGCATAACTACGTGTAATATAAAGATGAATGAGAATAACTACGGGTTATATAACTATGAATGAGAATAACTATGTGTTATATAAAGATGAATGAGAATAGCTACGTGTGATATAAAAATAAATGAATAGCTACGTGTTATATAAAGATGAATGAGAATAACTACTAACAACGTGTTATATAACTATGAATGAGAATAACTACGTGTTATATAAAGATGAATGAGAATAGCTACGTGTAATATAAAGATGAATGAGAATACCTACATACGTGTGTGTAAAGATGAATGAGAATAACTACGTGTAATATAAAGATGAATGAGAATAACTACGTACGTGTGTGTAAAGATGAATGAGAATAACTACGTGTTATATAACGATGAATGAGAATAACTACGTGTAATATAAAGATGAATGAGAATACCTACGTACGTGTGTGTAAAGATGAATGAGAATAACTACGTGTAATATAAAGATGAATGAGAATAACTACGTACGTGTGTGTAAAGATGAATGAGAATAACTACGTGTTATATAACGATGAATGAGAATAACTACGTGTAATATAAAGATGAATGAGAATACCTACATACGTGTGTGTAAAGATGAATGAGAATAACTACGTGTAATATAAAGATGAATGAGAATAACTACGTACGTGTGTGTAAAGATGAATGAGAATAACTACGTGTTATATAACGATGAATGAGAATAACTACGTGTAATATAAAGATGAATGAGAATACCTACATACGTGTGTGTAAAGATGAATGAGAATAACTACGTGTAATATAAAGATGAATGAGAATAACTACGTACGTGTGTGTAAAGATGAATGAGAATAACTACGTGTTATATAACGATGAATGAGAATAACTACGTGTAATATAAAGATGAATGAGAATACCTACGTACGTGTGTGTAAAGATGAATGAGAATAACTACGTGTAATATAAAGATGAATGAGAATAGCTACGTGTAATATAAAGATGAATGAGAATAGCTACGTGTTATATAAAGATGAATGAGAATAACTACGTAATACATAAAGATGAATGGATGCATGAGCAAAACTACGTGTTATATAAAGATGACTGAGAATAACTACGTGTTATATCAAGATGAATGAGAATAACTACGTGTTATATAAAGATGAATGAGAATAGCTACGTGTAATATAAAGATGAATGAGGATAACTACATGTAATATAAAGATGAATGAGAATAGCTACGTGTAATATAAAGATGAATGAGAATAGCTACGTGTTATATCAAGATGAATGAGAATAACTACGTGTTATATAAAGATGAATGAGAATAACTACGTGTAATATAACGATGAATGAGCATAACTACGTGTTATATAAAGATAAATGAGAATAACTACGTGTTGTATAAAGATGAATGAGCATAACTACGTGTTATATAAAGATGAACGAGAATAGCTACGTATTATATAAAGATGAATGAGAATAACCACGTGTTATATAAAGATGAATGAGCATAACTACGTGTTATATAAAGATGAACGAGAATAGCTACGTATTATATAAAGATGAATGAGAATAACTACGTGTTATATAAAGATGAACGTGAATAGCTACGTATTATATAAAGATTAATGAGCATAACTACGTTTTATATAAAAATGAATGAGAATAGCTACGTGTAATATCAAGATGAATGAGAATAACTATGTGTTATATAAAAATGAATGAGAATAGCGACGTGTAATATAAAGATGAATGAGAATAACTACTTGTCATATAACTATGAATGAGTATAACTATGTGTTATATAAAGATGAATGAGAATAGCTACGTGTGATATAAAAATAAATGAGAATACCTACGTGTTATATAAAGATGAATGAGAATAACTACTAACAACGTGTTATATAACTATGAATGAGAATAACTACGTGTTATATAAAGATGAATGAGAATAGCTACGTGTAATATAAAGATGAATGAGCATAAGTACGTGTAATATAAAGATGAATGAGAAAAACTACGTGTTATATAAAGATATAAAGATGAATGAGCATAACTACGTGTAATATAAAGATGAATGAGCATAATTATGTGTAATATAAAGATGAATGAGAATAACCACGTGTTATATAAAGATGAATGAGAATAATATGTACGTGTTATATAATAATGAATGAGAATAACTATGTGTAATATAAAGATGAATGAGAAAAGCAACTCGTGATGCAAGTAGCATTACAAAGATGACTGACTGAAGTGTAACGTAAGAATGAGTGATCATGAAGGCAATGATGACTTAGAGAAGCTGTTGTACATGTAATATAAAAGTGACTGGGAGTAGTCACGTGTTACATAAATATGCGTAGCGTCGTGTAATGTAAAGTCGGATAAAATAGCTACGTGTAATAAATCTACAAGTGGTATTAACATGAGCGACAGTATCTGTACGTAAGCATGAGGGGATTGAGGAAGTTACATCACATCTTACAGTCACGAACAATGCTATATAGGAGTAACAACAATATTGATAAACCTGTTTTAGACCTTACATGTTCCTCGCCGCCTTTCTTTAATCACGGGGCAATGGAGTGTTCAAAAGGAGCCGACGACGTCATATCCTGTACAGCAAAGTGTCATAAAGGCTTTACCTTCAAAAGCGAATTCAACGAGAAACACTCTTGTGTAAAAGGGCAATGGAAACCAGCCTTCCAACCTCATTTTTCATCTGCTTGTTTCGGTAGGTTCCTCTTTTTTAAGACAATTTTCAAATTTCGGTTAACCATTAGAGTAGTACAATGAGTAAGTCGGTTAACCATTAGAGTAGTACAATGAGTAAGTCGGTTAACCATCAGAGTAGTACAAGGAATAAACCGGTTAACCATTAGAGAAGTACAAAGAAAAAGTCGGTTAACCATTAGAGTAGTACAAGGATTAAGTCGGTTAACCATTAGAGATGTACAATGAGTAAGTCAGTTAACCATTAGAGGTGCACAAGGAGTAAGTCGGTGAACCATTAGAGAAGTACAAGGAGTAAGTCGGTTAACCATCAGAGTAGTACAAGGAATAAACCGGTTAAACATTAGAGAAGTACAAAGAAAAAGTCGGTTAACCATTAGCGAAGCACATGGAGAAAGTCGGGTAATCATTAGAGATGTACAAGGAGTAAGTCAGTTAACTATTAGAGTAGTCCAAGGAGTAAGTCGGGTAACCATTAGAGTAGTACAAGGTGTAAGTCGGTTAACCATTAGAGAAGTACAAGGAGTAAGTCGGTTAACCATTAGAGAAGAACAAGGAGTAAGTCGGTTAACCAATAGAGTAGTACAAGGAGTAAGTCGGTTTACCATTAGAGAAGTACAAGGAGTAAGTCGGTTAACCAATAGAGTAGTACAAGGAGCAAGTCGGTTAACCAATAGAGAAGCACAATGAGTAAGTCGGTTAACCATTAGAGAAGTACAATGAGTAAGTCGTTTAACCATAAGAGTAGTACAAGGAGTAAGTCGGTTTACCATTAGAGAAGTACAAGGAGTAAGTCGGTTAACCAATAGAAAAGCACAATGAGTAAGTCGGTTAACCATTAGAGTACTACAAGGAGTAAGTCGGGTAACCATTAGAGCAGTACAAGGAGTAAGTCGGTTAACCATGAGAGATGTACAATAAGTAAGTCAGTTAACCATTAGAGTAGTACAATGAGTAAGTCGGTTAACTATTAGAGTAGTACAAGGAGTAAGTCAGTTAACCATTAGAGTAGTACAAGGAGTAAGTCGGTTTACCATTAGAGAAGTACAAGGAGTAAGTCGGTTAACCATTAGAGAAGTACAAAGAATAAGTCGGTTAACCATTAGAGTAGTACAAGGAGTAAGTCGGTTAACCATTAGAGTATGACAAGGAATAAGTCAGTTAACCATTAGAGTAGTACAAGAAGTAAGTCGGTTTACCATAAGAGTAGTACAAGGAGTAAATCGGTTTACAGGAGTAAGTCGGTTTACCATTAGAGAAGTACAAGGAATAAGTCAGTTAACCATTAGAGTAGTACAAGGAGTAAGTCGGTTTACCATTAGAGTAGTACAAGGAGTAAGTCGGTTAACTATTAGAGTAGTACAAGGAGTAAGTCGGTTAACTGTTAGAGTAGTACAAGGAGTAAGTCGGTTTACCATTAGAGATGGACAAGGAGTAAGTCAGTTAACCATTAGAGTAGCACAAGGAGTAAGTCGGTTAACTATTAGAGTAGTACAAGGAGTAAGTCGGTTAACCAATTGAGTAGTACAAGGAGTAAGTCGGTTAACCATTACTGTAGAACAAGGCGTAAGTCGGTTAACCATTAGAGTAGTACAAGGAGTAAGTCGGCTAACCAATAGAGAAGCACAAGGAATAAGTCGGTTAACCATTAGAGTAGTACAAGGAGTAAGTCAGTTAACCATTAGAGTAGTACAATGAGTAAGTCGGTTAACTATTAGAGTAGTACAAGGTGTAAGTCGGTTTACCATTAGAGAAGTACAAGAAGTAAGTCGGTTAACCATTAGAGTAGTGCAAGGAGTAAGTCAGTTAACCATTAGAGAAGCACAAGGAGTAAGTCGGTTAACCATTAGAGTAGTTCAAGGCGTAAGTCGGTTAACCATTAGAGAAGTACAAGGAGTAACTATTAGAGAAGTACAAGGAGTAAGGCGGTTAACCATTAGAGTATTACAATGAGTAAGTCAGTTAACCATTAGAGTAGCACAAGGAGTAAGTCGGTTAACTATTAGAGTAGTACAAGGAGTAAGTCAGTTAACTATTAGAGAAGTACAAGGAGTAAGTCGGTTAACCATTACTGTAGTACAAGGCGTAAGTCGGTTAACCATTAGAGTAGTACAAGGAGTAAGTCGGCTAACCAATAGAGAAGCACAAGGAATAAGTCGGTTAACCATTAGAGTAGTACAAGGAGTAAGTCAGTTAACCATTAGAGTAGCACAAGGAGTAAGTCGGTTAACTATTAGAGTAGTACAAGGAGTAAGTCGGTTAACTATTAGAGTAGTACAAGGAGTAAGTCGGTTAACTATTAGAGAAGTACAAGGAGTAAGTCGGTTAACCATTAGAGTAGTACAAGGAGTAAGTCGGTTAACCATTAGAGTAGTACAAGGAGTAAGTCGGTTAACCATTAGAGTAGTACAAGGAGTAAGTCGGTTAACCATTAGAGTAGTACAAGGAGTAAGTCGGTTAACCATTAGAGTAGTACAAGGAGTAAGTCGGTTAACCATTAGAGTAGTACAAGGAGTAAGTCGGTTAACCATTAGAGTAGTACAAGGAGTAAGTCGGTTAACCATTAGAGTAGTACAAGGAGTAAGTCGGTTAACCATTAGAGTAGTACAAGGAGTAAGTCGGTTAACCATTAGAGTAGTACAAGGAGTAAGTCGGTTAACCATTAGAGTAGTACAAGGAGTAAGTCGGTTAACCATTAGAGTAGTACAAGGAGTAAGTCGGTTAACCATTAGAGTAGTACAAGGAGTAAGTCGGTTAACCATTAGAGTAGTACAAGGAGTAAGTCGGTTAACCATTAGAGTAGTACAAGGAGTAAGTCGGTTAACCATTAGAGTAGTACAAGGAGTAAGTCGGTTAACCATTAGAGTAGTACAAGGAGTAAGTCGGTTAACCATTAGAGTAGTACAAGGAGTAAGTCGGTTAACCATTAGAGTAGTACAAGGAGTAAGTCGGTTAACCATTAGAGTAGTACAAGGAGTAAGTCGGTTAACCATTAGAGTAGTACAAGGAGTAAGTCGGTTAACCAATAAAGAAGCACAAGGAGTAAGTCGGTTAACCATTAGAGTAGTACAAGGAGTAAGTCGGTTAACTATTAGAGTAGTACAAGGAGTAAGTCGGTTAACCATTAGAGATGTACAAGGAGTAAGTCAGTTAACTATTAGAGTAGTACAAGGAGTAAGTCAGTTAACTATTAGAGTAGAACAAGGCGTAAGTCGGTTAACCATTAGAGTAGTACAAGGAGTAAGTCGGTTAACCATTAGAGAAGTACAAGGAGTAAGTCGGTTAACCATTAGAGTAGTACAAGGAGTAAGTCGGTTAACCATTAGAGTAGTACAAGGAGTAAGTCGGTTAACCATTAGAGTAGTACAAGGAGTAAGTCGGTTAACCATTAGAGTAGTACAAGGAGTAAGTCGGTTAACCATTAGAGTAGTACAAGGAGTAAGTCGGTTAACCATTAGAGTAGTACAAGGAGTAAGTCGGTTAACCATTAGAGTAGTACAAGGAGTAAGTCGGTTAACCATTAGAGTAGTACAAGGAGTAAGTCGGTTAACCATTAGAGTAGTACAAGGAGTAAGTCGGTTAACCATTAGAGTAGTACAAGGAGTAAGTCGGTTAACCATTAGAGTAGTACAAGGAGTAAGTCGGTTAACCATTAGAGAAGTACAAGGAGTAAGTCGGTTAACCATTAGAGTAGTACAAGAAGTAAGTCAGTTAACTATTAGAGTAGTACAAGGAGTAAGTCGGTTAACTATTAGAGTAGTACAAGGAGTAAGTCGGTTAACCATTAGAGATGTACAAGGAGTAAGTCGGTTAACCATTAGAGGTGCACAAGGAGTAAGTCGGTGAACCATTAGAGAAGTACAAGGAGTAAGTCGGTTAACCATTAGAGAAGTACAAGGAGTAAGTCGGTTAACCATTAGAGAAGTACATGGAGAAAGTCGGTTAATCATTAGAGATGTACAAGGAGTAAGTCAGTTAACTATTAGAGTAGTACAAGGAGTAAGTCGGTTAACCATTAGAGTAGTACAAGGAGTAAGTCGATTAACCATTAGAGAAGTACAAGGAGTAAGAAAGATCCATCAATCAGAACAAATATGATAATTATTGATTTAAACATATTTAGTATTCTTGAAAAATAATATTGCGTTTAAACATAACTTTGATACCTTACTTCCACATAAAATGTTTTAATATCAATATTTTACATACCCTAGCACCACAACCTACGATCTTGAAGCTTTCGACATCTAACAAGATTGACTGTAAGGGAAAACAGATAACAGCGGACGACATCGTCGAATGTCTACGAACCCGAATGCCATGTAATAGAGAGAACATCCTTCTGTGCGAAAAAGAAGCAATCCTCATTGAGAGAACTGTCTCTGGTACGACAGTGAATGTTCAGGTGTCCGGAAAAGTACCGTAAGTAGCCAGGCATTTCTACCGACCGTTTAGATTTGATAACGCCATCTGATAAGTAAATTAAGTTTTATGCCATCGACAAATTATAGAGATGAGAGATTGCCAATAAAAGAATATACTCGACAATATTCTAGTGTATCAAATACAGACTCCGGTGGCGACTTGTCTGAATAACCAATTACTCAGTGGTGGTTTTGTCTGAATTACCAATTACTCAGTGGTGGTTTTGTCTGAATTACCAATTACTCGGTGGTGGTTTTGTCTGAATAACCAAGTACTCAGTCGTGGTTTTGTCTGAATTTCCAATTACTCAGTGATGGTTTTGTTTGAATTACCAATTACTCAGTGGTGATTTTGTCTGAATTACCAACAACTCAGTGATGGTTTTGTCTGATGTTTTTGTCTGAATTACCTATTACTTAGTGATGGTTTTGTCTGAGTTACCAATTACTCAGTGATGGATTTGTCTGAATTACCAATTACTCAGTGATGGATTTGTCTGAATTACCAATTACTCGGCGATGGTTTTGTCTGAATTACCAATTACTCGGTGGTGGTTTTGTCTGAATTACCAATTACTCAGTGGTGATTTTGTCTGAATTACCAATAACTCAGTGATGGTTTTGTCTGATGGTTTTGTCTGAATTACCAATTACTTAGTGATGGTTTTGTCTGAATTACCAATTACTCAGTGATGGTTTTGTATGAATTACCAATTACTCAGTGATGGTTTTGTCTTAATAACCAATTACTCAGTGGTGGTTTTGTCTGAGTTACCAATTACTTAGTGATGGTTTTGTCTGAATTACCAATTACTCAGTGATGGTTTTGTCTGAATTAACAATAACTTAGTGATGGTTTTGTCTGAGTTACCAATTACTTAGTGATAGTTTTGTCTGAATTACCAATTACTTAGTGATGGTTTTGTCTGAATTAACAATAACTCAGTGATGGTTTTGTATGAATTACCAATTACTCAGTGATGGTTTTGTCTGAATTACCAATTACTTAGTGATGGTTTTGTCTGGATTACCAATTACTCAGTGGTGGTTTTGTCTGAATTACCAATTACTTAGTGATTGGTTTGTCTGAATTACCAATTACTCAGTGATGGTTTTGTCTGAATAACCAATTACTTAGTGATGGTTTTGTCTGAATTACCAATTACTCAGTGATGGTTTTGTCTGAATTACCAATTACTCACTGATGGTTTTGTCTGTATTACCAATTACTCAGTGATGGTTTTGTCTGAATAACCAATTACTCAGTCGTGGTTTTGTCTGAATTACCAATTACTCAGTGATGGTTTTGTCTGAATAACCAATTACTTAGTGATGGTTTTGTCTGAATTACCAATTGCTTAGTGATGGTTTTGCCTGAATTACCAATTACTCAGTGGTGGTTTTGTCTGAATTACCAATAACTCAGTGATGGTTTTGTCTGATGGTTTTGTCTGAATTAGCAATTACTTAGTGATGGTTTTGTCTGAATTACCAATTACTCAGTGATGGTTTTGTATGAATTACCAATTACTCAGTGATGGTTTTGTCTGAATTACCAATAACTCAGTGATGGTTTTGTCTGAATTACTAATTACTCAGTGGTGGTTTTGTCTGAATTACCAATTACTTAGTGATGGTTTTGTCTGTAGTACCAATTACTCAGTGGTGGTGTTGTCTGAATTACCAATTACTCAAGGATGGATTTGTCTGAATTACCAATTACTCAAGGATGGATTTGTCTGAATTACCAATTACTCTGTGATGGTTTTGTCTGAATTACCGATTACTCAGTGATGGTTTTGTCTGATGGTTTTGTCTGAATTAGCAATTACTTAGTGATGGTTTTGTCTGTAGTACCAATTACTCAGTGGTGGTGTTGTCTGAATTACCAATTACTCAGTGGTGGTTTTGTCTGAATTACCAATTACTCAATGATGGTTTTGTCTGTATTACCAATTACTCAGTGATGGTTTTGGTGAGCTTTCCTATCAGTCACTCCTGATGTCTACCACTTAATCTTCATGAAGTTATATGCTACATATCTATCCATTACTTTAGATATCTGGTGGTCTATTATGTTGTTATTCGCTCAACCCCAAAAGTGCAGATGAAGTTATGACAGGGCGTGCTGTTTGTCGTTCAGACATCCATCCGGATAGCACGATAGGATGGAGGGCTATCAAGCTTGCTAGCATGATTGATTCTGCGTCAGTTTTAACATCACAAGGGTCAACTTGATAAAAACATTTAAGCGATTTTTTGAATAACCAATATACCTAGTGTCATGATATTTAGCAAGTTTTACGTTCGGATGAAAGTCTTGTAGAGCTTATCCAAATAAATGACGATGGACATCTTTGATGTTTAAACGAGTAAAGCAAGTTAAAATCTCCACCAGTGATCAACATGTAGAGTAACGATATTTAACCTGTACTGTAGAGTAATGATATTTAACCTGTACTGTTAGCCTGCCTGTTATCAAGATTATTAAATCAAATTTTGACCCAAGTAGAATGTCACAATGTATTGTAAGATGTTTTGCCCATGGTATTGAAAGAAAACTGTTAGCGATACCGGTCAACCTGTGCTCATGTTGTTAATGTTGTAAATAGTCAGTGTTGGTTTTCGTATTATTATCTATCAATCTTAATTTCGCCTAGGCTTTCATTGGTGGTGGTATTCTTCTAGATTTCTGAGATGGTCTGGTATTTTATATATCCCAATAAAGACTATTTAAAATGCAATTGTGTCCTCAGCAATAAAAAAACAACCCATTTACAATGTAACTGTATCATCAGCAATAAAGACCATATACAACGTTTGCATCCTAAATAATAAAGACCATAATTGTATCTTCAATAAATGAATGACATTTTTATACACAAGGAAAATCTATATCACATGTACAGTTACATATCGGACAACCCTGAACCGCCTCTAGATGAAATGAACCGGACATTATCGACCATAGCTTCAGGAGTTGAGCAACTTTTCAGTACTGAGGAACTAGTAAAATTCTGCCCATCCCTGGAGTGCTCCTTCGTGCAAAAAAAAGGTCGTACGTTCCAGAAGACATGTCAAAAAGGGGCGGTGGCTTACAATGTGGCCGGCAGGTCGATCTGTGGTATGTTACATTTTAACCTTAAATCCATCCTTACCAATATTTAAGAGTCAATTGATACAAACGAAAATACAAATACATATACTATATACATTTTATGCACCTTTTTAACGTATAATACAGAAATATGCGACGTTGTTATGCTAAATATCAAACTTTACTTTGATGTTTACAATATTGTGACAGTTGCGGAAAAAACTCAAAATACAATTCTACAAAAACATAAATAAATGAAATAAAATAAAAATGAATTAAAAGAAATTTTAAGAATGTCATCAGAGACACTTGACAGACAAGATGGCGAAACAACAAAATAAGTCTACATTGATCTATTACAGGCAAGTGCCCCCCTGGTACTCGCTTCCTGGAGACTAACGGGCAGTCTAAGTGCGAGTTCTGCGTAGCAGGCAAGTATCAGGACGAACAGGCTCAGACCGACTGTAAAATGTGCCCTAGTGACCGTCGTTACAGCAAGGCTGGAATTTGGCTTAAAGAACACTGCACACAAAGTAAGTTTATATTCAATTCCCTGGAACGTCGTCATAGAGTTTTTGTAACTGGACAAGATGCGGAAAATGCATTGTATGAATACCGAGTTACCTAGTTCAGAACCAGTTCAAATTGTATCGGCCTTTTTGTCAAGGTTATTGATACATTTAAATATTTTATGTCATACTCATAGATACAATGTATTGAATTACAAACCAAAAATATTTGAGCTTGATCCTGTCGCGGAAGCAGTAACACAGACAGCTCAACGAACGAGTATTTCCCAATAGTTCGACAAAATGTAGCTAAAAATTGAAAACATTTTGTTATCTAATACAACACTAAGATTCAGAAGATCAATGAATCCTAAAATGTGTGATGATACTATTAGTACAGTGCATTTATCTGTTTAATCAAACAGAGCTAAAACATGATAATTGAATGTAGATTTCGTTGGTATATTAGAAGAATTTCTCATGAAGTAATAACAAATGTGTTCTTAAATGTGACAGGTTTAATTTTATCGTGTCTGAAATGAAATCTAGCGATACAATTAAGAATGTTTAAGCTTCAGTATCCATGCGCACGTCCACATTTATAAAGCATTGCAAAAACACACATAAAATATTACGTCTGTACCAATGTGTCGCTGGTTTTTATGAAACACAGGTAACGTCAAAATCAGGCGGTGACTTCATTATATGTGACGTAGCATTCTGGAAAGATCATTGCAGAATCAAGCAAAGCAGTTTTATCTAAGTGCACATTCGACAAAGCACAGAATACGTTTCATTACTTGTTTAAAAATACAGTGAATCCTCCCTATATAACTGCACCACACTCTTCTCTCGAGGTATTCTTCATTATTTTAAAGTTTACAAATGTTCAAATTTCCGTCTGCTAATCATCCAATAACAAGTCTATTTTTTCGATTGTTTATCTAGCCTGTTCTAAATATGTCAGCAACAGGACACACTCTTGCAGTTCATTCCATGATTTAACTAACCTTAGTGAGAAAAACATCCTCTCCTTTCAATATATTACTAAGGGATGGTTGTGAATGGCCTGTCTTGCCAGTTTTCTAAACTGAACCTTTTTTTACCATCGACACCTCTACAAACCAGACGTTTAATTTACATATTTATATCATGTAAAATGGACATCTTATTGTGATCAGAGCTATCATAATGTATACATGTTCACGAGTATGATACGTCAACTTACATAATAATTATTACTGATCTGAAGAAAAACTAGCGCAAAAAGATTATCAAGTTAGTTAACAACTTATAAATTTTTCAGGCCTGCTTCCTATCGACCCGGAATCTGAATCGCTGGTCCCAATTGTGATCGGCGTGCCAGCCGGAATATTCTGTCTCATTCTCGTGCTTGTCATCATACTTTTCGTTGTCAAAAAACGAAAGGCGAAAAAAATGTTCGTTCATTCCCATACGAATCCAGTCTTCAATGTGTCCGGAGACGACTATGACAGTATCCCAGCGGACCAGAACGATCCCAACTATTCCAGTTTGATTGGGGTGAAGACCGATACAGCGAGCCAGTACGCCAGTCTGGGAAAGTCTACACCGGTCAAGTACAACAAGAACTCCGGTGGCGCAGCGGCAGTGGAATGCGATCATAATCCATATGACTTGGCCGGAGAGAAGAACCCGTACGACGATTTAAAAGTAAATAACTCGGCAGCTGAAAATCCCTATGATAGTACTACATCGTAATGTATGTGCCATTACTATACGGGGAGTCTGTTACTGTGTAATGTTGTAGCGGAAAGGAGTGCTTTGATTCTGATTCGGCGCAAAGGATTATAGAACAAAATGTACGTTGAAAATTAACACTTAACACAACAAATCATCTTACCATTTGCTCCTCCGCGCATTGCCTTACGAAAACAATACTTCTTGAAATGTTTTATCTTCTGAAATTCTGAAGGTAACTGGTACCAGCAAGATAAACGATAGTATTACCATGGTCAATACTGTGAACTGTTTTAATAAACATCCCATGATGCAATTTTAAAGAATTCCTGTTGCTCGAAATTTGAATGTTTGAAAAATTAATGTATCAATTGTATTTCCACTCACTTGCCCTAAATGGCAAAACAGTCATAGGGTTAACTAACTGATCTACATGAGGTGTGTTAAACTCATTTTACGATTGCTAAATGCCATACCTTCCATAAAATGTTAAGGCTGTTGGTAATATATAAATGTCACTCAATCTTTTTGATTCATTCTTTCGTGCTTCTCCATTTAGTTCATCCGCAATGTAGTTCAGTGATAATTTAATATAGCTTAGAAGTGGTTAGCCTTAGAACCACTAAGAACTGATTGAAACAAACATTAGTAAATTCTTACCAGAAATGTTCACTATTGATTGTATTAAGCTGACAATGTAAATTCTTACCAGAAATGTTCACTATTGATTGTATTAAGCTGACAATGACAAAGTAAATTCTTACCAGAAATGTTCACTATTGATTGTATTATCCTGACAATGACAAAGTAAATTCTTACCAGAAATGTTCACTATTGATTGTATTA